AAGGAGCTCGTATCCCTCACCAGTCAATTCATGATTCGCCGTACAGCAGAAGTGCTTGCAAAGTACCTCCCACCGAAGACTGAGCATATTGTCTTCTGCAGGCCGACCAAAGGACAAGCAGAGGCTTATCGCGCCATACTGGGCTCACCAACGTTCAGAATAGCGTTGGGAAGTACAGACATTGCGCTACAGCTCATCAATGTGCTGAAGAAAGTCTGCAACAGCCCTTCGTTGCTCAAATCATCGAAAGATAACGACGATACGCCATCGGAGATGCTGCAATCGCTTCTCCCACTGATACCACCCAAGATCCTCAGCTCAAGTGCTTCGAGTGCGAAGCTGCGACTGCTCGACAGCCTTGTTCATCGGATCTATACCACCACTGAGGAGAAGATCGTCATTGTTTCGAATTACACTACAACACTGGACATGATTGAGCGACTCTTGGTGTCATTGTCGTACACCTACCTCCGTCTCGACGGCAGCACACCAGCTACCAAACGCCAAGCACTTGTGGAGAAGTTCAACAAGACCCCGAAGACCACGTCTTTCGCCTTCCTACTATCAGCAAAATCCGGAGGAGTCGGGCTTAACCTTATCGGTGCATCGCGCATTGTACTCTTCGACATCGACTGGAACCCCGCTACCGATCTGCAAGCCATGGCACGTATCCACCGCGACGGCCAGAAGTTGCCATGCAAAGTATACAGATTCCTCATCCAGGGCGGCCTAGACGAAAAGATCTACCAGCGTCAAGTCATGAAGATGGGTCTCGCAAACGCCGTCGTAGACAACAAAGCCTCCGCATCCTCCTTCTCACAAGAAGAACTCCGCGACCTCTTCCGACTCGACGAGCGCGAAGGTTGCCAGACCCATGACATTCTCGGCTGCACCTGTGATTGCAAGGGCTCACCAGAAGTCAAGCTCGAAGCTGAGGAGGAAGAAGCAGAAACTCCCGTGGACGATATCGAAGACTCGGACGAAGACCCCTACCCCACCCTCACGAAAGCAAGCGAACTCAATATCGAAGAGCAAGAAGCGAAGATTAAGGCTAGACGCGCGGCGAAACAGCCCAAGTTGAGGATGTTGATGGAGTATCGGCATATTGATACTAAGATCCTTAAGGGAATGGAGAAGAGCGAGGGAGAGGAGGATGCAGGAGATGGGGTTGTGGATAATATGGCGGCGGCAATTGATGATGATGTGTTTCTCGATGTGCTGAAGGAGTCGGAGTGTAATGTCGGTTTCTTGCTGACGAAGTCGACGTCTTAAGTGGGGGTTTATGTGGCATGAGGGGGAAGAGCTCAAGTGTTTCAATAGAGCGTATATGCATAGCGACGGAGTTTGGACATGGTAGCATGGCTGGGTGACCTAGTGGCCCTAGTCTCAGGAGAGTTTCGTTTCATAACTCATGGAGGCTGTGCCTTGAGATAAAATGAAAGACCAAATGCAAGATCTACAGTCATCACGAAGCGTTCCACAAGATCAAAATTATAAACAGCAAGACGATAATATTTACTATGCAGAAAATAAAAAGCACTGGGCTACCAGCCCCCAAAGGCACCGCCGCGTATCTCAGCGACGCCATGGTATTTCCTCCGCCCCCTTCTTTCTATCTTGACCAATCCATCACACATGATTGATCTAAATACCAGCCTGCTGCGCGAAACCGAGTCTAGGTCCAGAGCTGCCCATCTCATGAACAATGTACTTGCTCTTAAGGAAGATATCACCAAAGATGCTGAAGCCAATACCGTCATCAGTCTGAATACCACCGAAGCAAGCACCAGTACCATCATCAAGAGGAGCATAGTTGACGTATTTACCGGGAACAGTCTGCTTGACGCCACCGACGGTGATGGAGAAATCAGGGAGAGTAGCAGTGCAAGGGAAGATGTAACCGCCCTGAGTAGCATCGTTCTTTGCGCCGGAGACCTTGGCGTAGTAGGCCTTGACGATGGCGGGGTCGGTGTAGATGAGGGTTGTGCCGGTGTCGAGGATACCGGAGACGGTCTTGGTGGTGGTTGTGGTGCCGACGCTGTAGGCGGAGGCGCTGAAGCCCCAGAAACCTTGGCTGTCGTCGGCGGCGACGTAGGTGATGGGGCCGGTGTACTTGCTCTTGTCGATGTAGCCGAAGTCGTAGGTGCCGGCGGCGTGGTACTTGAGTTGGACGGCGAAGAGGGGCGACGCGAGCTGCGACTTGACGGTGTCGAAGAAGGTCTTTTGTTGCTGGGGTTGCACCGTGTTGATGGTGGACATGGCCAGGCCGAGCAGACCGTCCGTGTCGACGTCTTGTGAGAATTGCGCGGAGACGGATGTGGCAGCCTCGACGGCTTGAGAGGTGGCTGTCACGCCACCGACGGTGACCTTGTCGGCGTAGACCTTGCCGGAGGCGCCAGAGCCATCGCCGTAGGAGATCTTCCACGAGTAGCCGCTCTTGACCTTGGAGGCATCGACCTTGTAGTAGTCATGGCCGGCGGTCTGGGAGCTGGCTTGGAGAGACGAGAAGACCCACCTGTGGTTACATTAGATGTGGGTCTTATATGAGGATAGGCACTTCGCCCCATCGTGACTTACAAGTCAGCGCTTCCGGTGTCGAAGTCAAGGTGGACAGTGGTGCTGCCAATAGTGACCGGGCTCAGGTATGCCGAGTCATATGCGTCATTGGGAGCGGCAGGCACTGATCCACTGGCAGCAGCAGCGGCGACCACAGTGTTGCTAGCCCGGTTCTGTGCAGCCTCAACGAGACTTTGAGGAACGGCCTTGCCGTGCTTGCGGAGTGCCTTGATCTTCTGCTCGGGTCCGTTCTTCAGGTAGGTAGAGCGAGGAACTTGCTCAACGGAGAAGGAGTTTCCCTTGTCTGTAATCACGTGTCAGATTGGAGCTTCTCATCAAGGCAGTGTTTGACATACGCAGAACAGGAGTGGCAACAACAGTGCTGGCAAGAGCGAGCGCCGCCGTGAGGTGGGCGAATGAAGGCATGATAACGATGGACTATCTGATACGGCAGAAGAGCGAGGGGTGAAAGGCCAGTGGTAGCTGAAGCCTGTACGAGAGGCTTGAAGAGAAGACAAAGCCGGTACAGAAGCAATAGAGGCGAGGAGATGCCTTGGCTTTATACCAAGCAATGCCAACAAGGCGCGGCATAAAGTCTTGTCCATGACGATGATGTGCTCGTTACCCTGTTCGATCTGTCTACGCCGCCCTCTATTGGCATCGTAGGCGTAGTGTAGGATCATAGTGGGGTAAACGATCAACATTGAAATTAGATCCCGCAACCACTCATGGTAACGAGTCCTATCTTGGCAGGTCGATCATGCTCGCAAGGCGGTGGCGCCGCGTTTCATACATTTACCTGCTACATTGAGACTTGGCGTCGGTCACGCAAGTGCATGCGGAGCCGGGTGTTGGTAGAAGGGCGCTTGGGATAGGCGACGGCCCTTGTAGATCGGATATTGCGACTGAAGTGACCATCTTGCGCGAGTGTAGGACCGAATGCGTGGCGGCGTGTCCGTAGTACTACATCGTGTAATTGCAGGCTGTGAGGTTCCGCAGGCGTAGCAACGGCGGGACCGAGGTTTGTTTCGAAGAATGTGGCAAGTTAATAGTACTGTACCGAATCTTCATGGCTATTGGTGACTGCTGGAATGAAAGTTGCCATAGTATAGCGTCCCTTGTTCGCTAAGGGGCGGGTTAGTGCTTCCCCAGTGTCGTGTAGTGCGTGTGCCTGCCAGTCAAGCTTCGAAGCGCGCTACCAAGCATGCCACTTTCACGCTTGGCGCTATCATGCTGCAGGGAGCGGGACAGCCACAGCCGTTTGAAACACGGCCTGGAGATGGCCTGAGGTGTGTTGGTCATGCAAACACGGACATCCGTCAATAACGTCAATGTCGTCAACGTGTGTCCATGCTTTCTACACCGTGGCTGCATGGCTGTCGTTCGCCTCTTGACATATGCTTTGGTATCGATAGTCGCATGCAAACGTGCCGTAGTACCATGGATAGCTCGCGATCAGCAGGCCAACTGCCGGCGAACAGCGCAGTCACATCTGCCCTTGCGCCCGATGTCCAGCTTCCAAAAACTCGCCGAGTCGTCCAGCCGATCGGTAGCTGTTAACGCATGATTAATTAACAGCGTAACTTAGCAAACAAGGCGATAAGAGCGGCGGCGGACTGCATTAGGTAGGTGGCGATGTGGTGTGGTTGAAGGGCGGGCGTCTGCAGACGGCACATGGGAGAGGTTGAGTGTAGGCCCGGCCCTAGTGGACCTTCCCGTCTGGCCTAACTAACCCTTTCATGTCGCAAAGACACATGCCACGACCAATCATACTCATGGGGCACTTTTGCCCACAAAATCGCGAATCTCGAGCTCGGCCAATTGCGCATCACAAGGCCGCTTGCGCTTCCAACCTGCCAATTCAGGACGTGATCCGCAGCATTCCAAGCACACTACACCACGGAGCAGGATGGTATCAAGCACCATCAAGCTTGGTCACGCATGCCGAGGAGAATGCTTAGTACCACACTTTGCGAGTTGGCGCTCCCCCAGGCTGGACTGCGGAATGTTGTTCATGTCCTATCAACGTTGAAGATACACTGCTGCGCCGATGCTCGGGGGTTTAGAGTTCCTTATCACCTGCCCATTGCGATGCAAAGTCGTTGCTGGCGCATGTCACTCCACGCCATCTGTCGATCGTAGAGGATGGTATCAAGCAAAGCCAAGCTGCTTGAGGAAGCTTGGTACACGCAGGCACAGAAATTCTCCGATACTAGCTGTGGATTGGGTATCTGGAAAAGGAAAGAAAAGTTGGCGGCTGCCTTATCTTCGAAGCAGACTTGTTGCGGTCAACAACATGCATTTCGCCGCAAATCAAGACCAGACCCCAGTCTAAGTCCAAGTCCAAGTCTGAATCTGATTCTGAGTCTGAGTGAGACTGAACCTGAATTCCAAGTCTGAGTCTGAGGCTGCGTCCAAGCCAAAAGCGCATTCTCCTCGCAAATCTATTCTGCGTCGGCGTTGCCCGTAACAGCACTCTCAAGGTTCTTGAGCGCCGCACGATACGCCTTCTTCTTCCCATCCGCCGTAACAGCACTCTCCTTCCACTCCATCCTCTTAACCTTCTTACCCCCCCTCTTAATCCCATCCCCCTTAGCCACCTGCTTCAAAAACCACGCCGCCTCCGTCTTCGTAAACATCGTCCACGCCTCACCAGGCTTACCCGCACGCGCCGTCCGGCCCACGCGGTGAACATAGCTCGTAATGCTGGTAGGAAGATCGTAGTTGATCACGTGAGTAATATCGGGGATGTCCAAACCGCGGGATGCGGCGTCGGAGGCGATGAGGATTTTGGTGGCGCCGGAGCTGAAGGATTTGAGGAGTTTGCGGGAGGCGTCTGCGGTTAGGGCGCGGGTCATGGTTTTGATGTGGGTGGCGAAGAGGGGCATGAGGGCGCTGAGGAGATGGGATAGGCGGGATGCGCTTTCTGTGCTTTTGGTGAAGATGAGGACGCGGCCGGTTTGTTGGGATATGATTGCGCGGCTTTCTGAATCAGACTCGGAGTCGCTGTCTGAGGATGAATCGGAGTCTGAAGAGTCTGAAGAGTCTGAAGATGGCTTCGACAACTCCAGTGTGCCCGGGTAGACATAGTTGAGTAGTACGTATAGCAGGTGCAATGGTTTGTTTGAACCATCGCCAACATGTACAGCGAACTCCTCTAGCGTAGACGGCAGCTCGAACACGTTCTCTTCAGTCTCCATTGCCTGCAGTTCCATAGTCTCGTCTTGTACGACTACCAACTTCGGTCGCTTCAGCTTGAGAGTGCCTAGCTTCGTAAGGTCCTTTTCCATTGTCGCCGAGAGCACAACTTTGGTGAGTTGCCTTCGGGCGGGCAATGCCATGGACCAGATGGAGTTGGCGTCGCGCTCGCGCTTTCGTATCCGCTCTTGGGCGTTCATGAAGTCGACCGGAGTCTCACCGTGGAGGGCGTCCATGAGCACAGTTGCCCAGCCCTGGAAGTTCTGATTTAAAAGCTGGTCAGCCTCGTCAATGACGAGCCAGCGCACGCTGTTCAGCAGAAATCCTGTTGTGTGTTCGATGTGCTCGACCAATCGACCCGGAGTGCAGATGAGTATGTCCACGCCCGAATCATATTGCGGAACGTGATCGAGAGGCATGGCTCTCAAGTCGTCGTACAACCCTCCTCGCTCCATGAAGCCCGTCTGGTATTGTCGAGAAGCCTTCTCCTGCAGCTCCTGTGCTCTCCTTGGGTCGTATTGTGGTCGCATCTTGACGAGCTGCTTCTGCTCCGTCGCAAACGCGACATTGCCCAAAGCCGTTCCAACTTTGATCTTTGTTCCAGCGCACAGGTCCTCGGCGACTTGTAGGGCTTGGTTGACGAGCTGCCGGCTTGGTACTACGACGATGGCGGAAAGGACAGGTACGGTGCGGTCTTTGAGCGCTTCGATAATAGGGAGTAGATAGGCCAGCGTCTTTCCAGAGCCAGTCTTTGCCGACACACATATATCGCCCAAGTGTTGGTCATAGCCAGGATGTAGCAGAGGTAGCAATGCTGTCTGTACAGCCAAAGCGTCCTTGAAGCCTTGTTTTTCCAGCTTCTTGACATACTGGGGATCTACGCCCAATTCGGCGAAGGGGACTGTTTTCGAGGCTTCGACGGTAGTAGGCTGCGCGAGCCAGGTGGGAAGGGTGGAGAAGGTGGGTTCGTAGACGGGCTCGGGAATCGGTGCGGGTTGCGGCATAGGCTCGAGGTCATGAAGCTCTCCTTCCTCTTGCGGCACTTTCGCAGGTTCCTCCTCAGTATTTTGACTCTTGGCTTCAGCTAGCTTCGCAGCCTTTTCGAATTTGGAGAAGACATTCTTGTGCTTCTTCGAAATCTCATCATCCTCCTCTTTGGCGGCCTCGGCTTCGCGTTTTCTCTTTTTGGGCTTCTTGATGGTCTTTTTCGCCTCTGCTATCGGGCTGGTTTCTACGGGCTCGGGGCTTGAGGCAGCGACTTCCTCATTCGTAGCAATTACAGGGCTGGAGGCCTTTGCGACAACGGGCGCGGGAGGTGAAGGCTGCTTCTTGGCGACGACCGCGGGCGGCACATAACGTCTTTGAAACATGGTATATCAGATGCTGCGCGAGTTCAGGTTGCGACAGCTTGAAATAGCGCCTGGAAGGATTCGCGATGGTTGCGACCGGCGGATGGTGAGTTTAGAAAATCTATGGACCCTGGAAATTTAGTCGGAGTTCCAGCCACGCCAAACGCCGACGGTGACGCGCCCAGGCCTTGAGTTCGCGACAAAGCAGGTGCGCTCCCCGCCAGAGACACCCATGGTACCTATCAATTGCGCCCAGGCTTGAGCGCCATGTATCCTTCTGAGCAGACTCGAGGTGCCAGTCCTCACCAATCGCCAAGATGCCGTACAACATTGCCATGGTCAGCGACAACTTCTACCCTCAACCCGGTATGCACCTAGCCGCGTCTTGAGACTCGGCGCAGTACTCATCAATCGTAGGAGGAGTCGAAAGTCACATGTACCAGTTATCTAGCGTAAGTCCCCTTCACACTCACCAATTCCCACTGTATCCACATCTAACACCCCCCAGAAACTAATTGACCGCGGCCACAAAGTAATCGTCATAACACACGCCTACGCTGGCCGGACTGGCGTTCGCTACCTGACCAACGGCCTGAAAGTCTACTACGTCCCCTTCTGGGTTATATACCGCGAAACCACCTTTCCGACCGTCTTCTCTTTCTTCCCCATATTCCGCAACATCGTCATCCGCGAAAACATCGGCATCGTACACGGCCATGCCAGTCTTAGTAGTTTGTGCCACGAGGCGATTCTGCACGCGAGGACTATGGGGCTGAGGACGGTTTTTACGGATCACAGTCTCTTTGGGTTTGCTGATGCGGGAAGCATACTTACGAACAAGCTTCTCAAGTTTACCCTGAGTGACGTGGACCATGTTATCTGTGTCAGTCATACTTGGTTAGTATTCACTGGTACTCTCTCGGGGCTGGCAGCTGCTAACATATCGCAGCAAGGAGAACACTGTCCTTCGAGCCTCGCTAGACCCCCTCATGGTCTCTGTCATACCCAACGCGGTCGTTGCAGAGAACTTCCGTCCTCTTTCCCACGATTCGGTCGACCCTACGCACACGAAGAAGGCGCCTGGTCCGCGACAGCCAATGGGCCCGGATGAGATTATCACTGTCATTGTCATACAACGGCTATACTACAACAAGGGCACCGATCTGCTAGTCGCTGCTATACCCCACATCGTTGCTGCGAATCCAAACGTTCGCTTCATCATCGCTGGCAATGGACCAAAAGCTATCGATCTCGAACAGATGATCGAGCGGAACGTGCTGCAAGACAAGGTTCTCATGATCGGTCCAGTCCGCCATGAAGAAGTGCGAGATGTCATGGTACGGGGCCACATCTACCTCTGCCCCTCATTGACAGAGGCGTTCGGAACCGTTATTGTGGAAGCTGCATCCTGTGGACTCTACGTCGTTGCAACCCGAGTCGGAGGTATCCCTGAAGTGCTGCCCACCCACATGGTTGAGTTCGCGGCACCCGAAGAAGACGATTTAGTCGTAGCAACAGGCCGTGCCATCGCCAAACTGCGAGCTGGAAAGGTCAGGACCGAGCTCTTCCATAACCAGGTAAAGCAAATGTACTCCTGGACCGACATTGCGCAGCGAACAGAGAGAGTATACGATGGCATCAGCGGCGTAATTAGTCACAGCGACTTCTACCAAGGCGCAGGAGCAGCCGGCGCATGGAGTGCAACACGTGGTCGTGCGGGCGTGCAGAGCTTCGCACTCATTGAGCGGCTGAAAAGATATTTCGGTTGCGGCATCTGGGCAGGCAAGCTCTTCTGCATCTGTGTCATCGTCGACTATCTCATCTACCTCGTTCTGGAAATCTTCGCACCCAGATCACGCATCGACATTTGCTATGATTGGCCCAAGAAGGTTATGCAAGCGAAAGGAGAAGTCAACAAGCTGCTCGTGCCCGATATCGACCCTGAAAAAGGAACACTACTCCGAAAGAGAAGCTCAAGGCATCGAAAGCCGAAGAGAGAGGAACCAGAGGATAGTTGAGACACAGGGCAAAGACATCACTTGAAAAGAGCGAGATGAGGACGTGTCAACGGCTTTTGTGATTTGAATATTACGATTACTGTTCGCCCAACTATGAGCTATGAACAGAGAATCGCGGAGAATGGTATATGCTAACTACTAATCGAAGCCCGTATCCAGATAGGCTTACTATGCTCTTGCCGGAACGCTGAACCGGGTACTCCCCCATCCCATGCCCCCAACGCCGATGAAAATGCTTTGTACAAGGAGAAGAACAAGAAAAAGGAAAAGGAAGAACAATCAGTCAACCCGCCATGACTTAAGCGTAAAACCAGTACTGCGCACTGTACTCGACCGTAAAACTGCCCTCAATCCCACTGCAGTCCTTAGGCGCCATGCCACCCGCAGTGTGTATCCGGTAGACCTCGTTGTACGCCCAAGGCGCCTCGCCCTCAGTCGTAACCGTAGCGTTCAACTTGAGCCACGGAACACTACCCAGACCATTCGTTCCCTTCGTCGCAGTCGCGGGCGCAGCACTCTTCCCATTAACAGCACACTCCACACGACCGAAGTCGTTCTTGTCGGTCTCGAGCATGAAGAGAGGGACGCCCGCGGCGGTGAACTGATGGTGACCAGAGAGACGCTGGTCTGCCTCTGCGGACGTGGGGATCGCGTAGTTGAGTGCGAGATCGGTGACTTGGCCGAGGATGTTCACGTTGAGGCGGGCGGCGTCGCAGGTCGCGTTGAAGAGCGTGGCGATGGCGCCGGTGGCTTTGGGGATGCTGGATGCGGAGGAGTCGGCGCAGGTGTAGTTTTGGGTGCCTCGGCCGATGGCGATGTGCCGGAGGGATGTGCCTTTTGCGGGCGCGGCGAGGGGGGTGGGTGCTGGGTCGTGTTAGTTGATGTTGTTTCTTGGATGGTTGTTGGCGGTGGTGGGGATGGGGGACGTACCAGCAGGGAGAGCAACGTTGGATAGATCACATAGTGAGTCTGTCTTCAACAGCTCCTTGTAGATGACCGCGGGGATGTCTCGCCGGGGGATCAAAGCTGCTATCGAGTCGACGGTCTGGCTGGGAGCGGCGAAGATGGTGGCTGGTGCCAGGGCCAAGACGAGGCTGAGGGTGTTGGTGAAGATCATGTTTGAGGTTGTCGGCTTGTAGTATCTTGGATGGTGATGTAGATTGCCGAGTCGAAGTCTTGGATGCTTGTGTGATGTTCGAATAGAGTGCGACCGTCTCGATGTTTATACCAGAAACCAGACGATGTTCAGGAATGTACTGTAAGCCTTGCCGCCGGTATGATAGTATTCCGGGAATAGACTGGTTGTTGCTGAGCTATTGTAAGACTCGGAAGCGATGAGATCCGTAAGATGAATAAAACGGTCCAAGCGAAATGAAACAAACGTCAGAAATAACCCTCAAGGAAAGAAGCCCAAAGGAAAGTACGCGAACGACGACGACGAAAGCGGGTCTCTTGTAGAGGGAAGTGAGATGTTGTGTTGGTAGTGAGGTGGATATGGGAAACCGTCAACGAGGCCGTGTATGGCATCTTCCTATATACACAACGTACCCATCGCGCTACACTACGAAACGAACCAGTTTTGCGCCATCCTATCCTACTCCCAGCGCGTAGTGCCCGCTCCACACAACAGACTACTCGCGCACAAAGTCTGCGAAGCCGAGCAACCGTTTACCGCCGTGTCCCACTCGCCCTTCCAGCCACTGCTTTCGCTCGCTTTGCTCGATTAGTCCGCTAATGCAGGTAGTAAAAGACCCCAAATATAGCTGGCGGGGGTGTGATAGGCTCACAGCGTTCGAAGAGAGATGGGAGGGATGGCAGGTGTGCTGTGGTTCGCTGCTCTGCCGAGCGCGCCTGGGGGTGGTTAAGACGGCCGCTAGCCGGGTTTGGGGGTTAGTGTTGTAAACGCCCGTGGGGATCGGCTGGCGAGATGGCTATTTTGGGGAGCGCGACGGGAGGGGGTTGGTAATTTGGTAATGGGGTAGAGGGTTAAGGTGCTGATGCGAGATGGAGATGGAGATGGGCAGATCTGTGATCGTCGGGAGGGGTGCTTGATGATGTGCTGATGGGGAGGTGGAGGTTTGGAGTTGGGGCTGTGTTGTGGGTGTGAGTATAGATAGTTGATGATTGATGTTGAAGTGAGACGGATGTCGCCCGCCTTCCTGCGCTGAGTTTGGAAACCTCACAGGAACATCTTGCCAGCGTCAGCAAGACTCGAGTCTGGCAAGTTGGAAATCAGCACGCGATCAGAAACTGCATACCTACTACGGTAGAGTGCAAAAAACCAAGAACCCTCACAAACCACCACAATCAACCGCCCTCTCCACACCCAGTCCTTCCACTTTCCTTCCCTCCTCCCTCTATCTCCTTCTCCCACCCACTACCCGCAGAGCCGCCCGTCCTACACCTAGTCACGCAATCATCAGCTGGCAATGTACCCAAGCTACCACATGCCCTAGTACCATTACCCTGTACCCACCCGTCGCTGGCGTCGCTCGTCGCAAATACCCACCTGCACCTTCCCGCACCGCCAAACCACATGTAGAAGGTACAAACACCGCAAATACTTTCGCATCCACAGAAAAAGACTATTAATACGCTCTGCATGCAGCGACGGGTAGGTGAAAGAAATGACAGCTAATATACCTCATCCGGCATTAACAGGGTTCTGCTCAGCGCTAGCCAATCAGAGCGTGGAAGACAGCTGGACAGGGCTCCAGCGCTAGAATCCTCGAACGCTATCTCGGCGCTTCGCTATTGGCAGCCAGCGGCCGGCGAACAGGTCTCTGGTTTTCTCGACTGGCATTGTGGATTGGATGCGTTGTATTTGGCTCGCTGGTCACTGGCTGGGAATACCAATGTCGTGCAGGTGGATTGGGCAGATGGATTTTGTAGGCGGGGATCTTGTTTGACATTCCGCACTTGCATGGCCGTTTTTCCCGGTTTGCGTTTCTCAGTTTATCATCCGTTGGATGGGGACGCTCGAGAGCGGTTGTGCTTGCTGTC